AAAGAAAGGTTACTTACCTGTAACCATGGTTCTTCGAGTGGACCTCTGTGAATTCACACTACCCGCCCATCCTCCCCTCTGTCCGTCACGGGTATCTTATTGTTGTATAACTCTCGTGCCCGGCGGACAAATTGCAGGAACTGAGGGGAATCTTGGGTGGGAGGAGCTTGTGCCTCATGGGGGATCATACCATAAAATTGTTACTTTTAGCTCTGGAATGCTCCGAGAATGTCAGCGCAGGCGCAGACTAAACCCATATGTGTGAATTCACAGAGGTCCACTCGAAGAACCATGGTTACAGGTAAGTAACCTTTCTTTTTCTGTCTCTCTTGACTCCTTGTACATGTCACGATAAAAGAATTTCAGATATTGTGGCTGCTTTGTATTCATCTGTCTTACAGGCAAACAGTAAACAGAGGAATAACCATCCCCTGATGTAATAAAATAGCAGAAAAATTAAGGTGGGGGAGGAAAGTACAATAACCATATGAACATTTAATCCAAAATTGAGACACAAAAAATAAAATTTAAATAATAACTCACACATCATCACATTAGATCAGTAAAACAGGATTCAAAATACACACTGTTTTTCTCCTCCTACAGTGTGCGTTCTGTAACTTGGTGCATGTTTTCTGGTGTATCATGAATATTTTTGTGATGCAATGAGTACTGCAGTTCATTTCGTCCCTGCGTTGGCATTGTGTGCATCCAGCTTCCTTTCTTGAAGTAGCAGAATTTTCACACAAAAGTGCTTTCAAGTCATCCTGCTTCTGCAAACTGGCTTCCAGGACCAAGCCAGAATGGGAATGTGTTTTGTCATTCTGTATGAAATATGTATGTTTGTTTGAACAGGAGTTAGAACTCTTCAGCCTATTAAGCAGTAAAAACTTTAGGAAATTGGTATTTAGAGGGATTTCTCCCCCTTAATAATTTTGTTTCTGCAGAACCTGGTTATTATGAGGATGGCTCTTTTGGGATCCGAATAGAAAACATTGTAATTGTCGTTCCAACCAAAACGAAGGTGAGTGGTTTCTTGGCACACAGTGCAGTGCCATCTTGCTATGACATTCAAATGTAAAACCTTTCAAATAGTGGGTGCAAAAACTGAAAGTGAAAGAACGGTCAGATGATAAAACATGAAAAAGAACTTTTTTTACTGTTTCTCCTTGAAGGTGGTTTTGTTCTGAAACGTTCTACCTCGCTCATGGATTTCATGAATGGAGAGTGTGTGGGTTATTATTGCATCAAATAAACATTTCCTGTGGTACAAAATAACTTGCTATGACTCCCAAGCACCAAGAAATTGGGTTTTTGCCAAGCCCTTGTCTGGGAAATGGACTTTTCAGAATGGGATGCCCTGATCTAAATAGAGACCAATGGCTTTGGTTACACAATGTGAGAAGATGTTTGTCTTCCTGCTTGATTAAATCTGCCTCTTCTACTGTAATTTTCCTCTTGCCGCTTTGAATGTAGACATTAAGACATTTCTGCTTGAATGAAGCATTTTATTTAGCTTCTCTCCTTGTCATATAGACGTGTTTCCTTTTCAGTCATTCCTGTATGTGTTTTGTGGCTATATGTTGAAAGAGAAACAGAACTTTGGAAAGTATCTCTCAATCTTCACAGTGACTTTCCCAGTTTGCTGGTGGAAAGAAATCTTACACATGACCAAATGGAAACTGAGACACAGTGGTTGGAATCGTGGAATCGGCTGTTGCCTGGATTAGATGTTACTGCATCTTAAATGATCTCTATATATTGCTTTGTTGAAACGCGTTTATGAAAGTGTGAAGTGCAGTTTCCTATTCGTTAGGGACAGGTTGTCAGCAGGAAGGATGACATGTCCGGATTTGTGTAGTTGATAAGATTGCCTTATCATATGTTCTTTATGTGTAGATTATGGGGGCTGTGGGATGCTCTTATTCAGCTAGCAATTTCTCAAGTGACCAGGACACTTTTCTCTTTGTAGTATAACTTCAGCAACAGAGGGAGTTTGACTTTTGAACCTCTGACCTTGGTTCCGATCCAGACCAAAATGATGCATGTTCATTCACTGACCCAAAAAGAGGTAAGAGATCACTTGCACTGGTTTTTATTCATATTTTTACTGGGAGGTTTGAAAGCGTATTTGCTCTTCCTCTCCATAATTTCTAGTCACAGGTATAGCACTTGTCACAGCATTTATTTGGTGCCCATGCTGTTGTCGTTTTGTCTGCTGTTAAACTAGGCTGGAAGACAAGAGGGTTAGCTCACTGGTTGTTTGGAGAAAGAGTATATAGGTTTGGTGGGCAGGAATTGCATCCAGATTTATAAACATTTCAAAAGCCAGACATACCTTAGGTGGTAGTGGTTTGTAGATTTCAGCCACTATGGTCCAAGTCATGAAACTTATCCTGGATGAAGTTATTTTATTCAGAGAGCAGTGCTAGAGTTTGCCTATGCAGGAGCCCTATTCAGGCATTAAGAAACAATCCCCTTCCTTTTATCATCGGTTTTGCCTTCCTTCTATGTATGGAGGGCAAAGAGGCTGAAGAGAGAAAGCTCTGGTATCTTGTGAGGGGTGGTTGGGTTCTTCATGTAAATCTAGACACCGATGCTCCAGGGTCCTAAATCTTATGAGGAGCCCCTGCAGATAATGGAGATTGTCCCCATTCAGGATTGTCACCTCTCCATGTAAGAGAGTGATGGAGGCGAAAACAGAGGAGATAGGGAATGCTTGAATACTGCTTTCTTTATGTAAGCATTCTACATGGCTTTTTAACATACAAACAGGGGCTGAGTTGCAAAATTTAAGAAAGCAATATTTGATTTACCAGGAGTGAACACAGTTTTCTAATTGTGACTACTTGTGTGGGCAAAACAACACACAGCTGCATATGAGGATAGTTGCAGCAGCCTTTTGGGGCAGGGGGGGGCAAGTTTTGCAGAAGTAAAAAAAAAGATCTTTACCAACCAACCCACCAAAACATAGAGTGAACCAGGAGACTGTACTTTGCCCAGCTTGCCACAATAGCCAAATACACATTGAGCATCCTCAGCTGGCCAAGAGTGATTGTTGGAGTAAAACCTTCCAAAAATCAGATGGCTCTGGTGGTGGTATGGAAAGGAATCCCCTAGAACACTGGTTCTTAACCTTTGTTACTCAGATGTTTTTGGACTGCAACTCCCAGAAGCCTTCACCATCAGCTCTGCTGGCTGGGGTTTCTGGGATTTGCAGTTCAAAAACACCTGAGTAACAAAGGTTAAGAACCACTGCCCTAGAAGGAGATATGGGTCGCTGAATATGAGCATTTTGCACTGCAACAGTTTTGTTACAAAACTAATTTGCAGGGAACAAATCTGCAAGACTGGTAGGTTCAATATTCAAAACTACACAGATACATAGTAAACAGAGGCATTATCATAAGAAATTGGTCTCCCGATAGATTGGTCACTAATCATAAATATAGAGCAGGGTGGGCAACTGATACAGGTCCAGGGGTTGCACATGCCTATACCTGGATCCTTGAGGCCTGCTGCTGCATCCTCCCTCAGTATTTTAAAAATTCTTCTCTTTTACTGAAAAAACAACAAAAACCACACGCTTTGTCCCCTCTTAGTGTCGCTATGGGGCAATTTTGTTATGTTTGCGTTTATGCCTGAGCTGTTACAGGCCTCAGAGCCCGTTTTTTCAAAACTTACTGTGTGATTTGAAAAAAGGCTCCTTCTCAGAATAAAACATTTCAGGTGCCCCCCCCCATGTGGCAAAAGTGCTCCTGATGCCCCTTAAAAGGGTGTATGGGGACTTTCTGAGGGGAAAAATCCAACTGGGGGGAGGTGCTGGAGACTGTAGTTTGCCCAGCTTGCCTCATAGGATCCTCAGAAAGGCTGCAACGGTTCACTGAGCAAATGAGAATCCCGATTTCTCAAAGGGCTTTTGTTATTGCTTTGTCTGCATAAATGCACAAGTGCAGTAAGTTTTGTCATCGGAGCAAATGCAGGGTCTTATAGATAGAAGTACTCATTTACAGTTAGTTGCAAATGGAAGAGCAGAGCAATTTTCTGCTGAGGAGCACATACTAATGTGACTCCTTTAGCACTGAACGAGTGCTGACATTCTTATTTTTGCAGTAATTGATGCTGGTTTCCATGAGGCACGTTTTTAGAAATGCTAGGAATCAACAGCTGAAGTGAAAACGTGAACCTGTGCCTCTTAATAACCTCGCTAAAAAACTTCCCTGGGTTTGAGGGCACTCAGGAATTCTAGGTTGATGCCATGCAAGAAGGGATGGCAGCAGCAGCATGTCATGCACCAACATTTGGTTGTCGGCCAATGCCCCTTCTTAGACCAGAGAAGACAAAGGCTGTGGGTATTTGCTCTTCCCTGTGGCTGTTTCAGCTTTCTGTGTAGAAGGCTACTGCAGGGTCTCATGCATGCTTTCGCCTTTCAGGTGACACTCATGGTGGGTAGAGATCAAACTGCATTGCCCATTCCTTCTGGCAAACAATTCCTTTCTTTCTCCCTCTCTTTCAGTGTGACTGGGTGAATAACTATCACAGAAAATGCAGAGAGGTGGTCGGGGCAGAACTGGAACGGCAAGGACGACACGAAGCTCTCCAGTGGCTCATTAGGGAAACGGAGCCCATCTCCAAGCTGCACTAACAGCAATGGGTTTTTTTTTTTTAAAGAAAGTGATTTCCTTTTAAAAATGGCAAACGCAGGACTGTTTCAGCTTCACGGTAATATACACATGGTACTGCCAGGCCTAGGAGGAGGATGGGCAGATCCTTTCATAATAAGCAGGAGCCACAGTAGAGAGAAAGGAGGGGGCAGGATGGAATTCGTTTCACATGAGGATCTGTTGCCTCCCAATTGATGATGAGCAAAAATTTTAAAAAAACTAGAGCTATGAAATTTGTATCCTTATGGAAAAAGAGTGAGTCAATGGGGAAGAACACTTGATTGTTTGACATCCTGTGCAGACTTGCTTTGGGCAGAGGGGTGAACAGACTGGATTCTTTGGTCGATGCATAAACTTGACCAAACTATCTGGGAGGGAACTTCTCACGATGTAAATTCATTGTCTGGAACAATCCTGCCAAGTGGTAATGGAAAACGATACTATACATGGGGCACAAACGTGAGATTAAAAAAAGACTGTTAGTTGCCTTAGAGTCCTCACAGGGATCTGTCAAAAAGATTTCAAATGTTAGCATTTCTTCATTCACCAAGATCTAACAAAATGAATTCACACATTTATGTTCATCACTTGATGGCAGCAACACCAAGCAGTATCTTGCGTCACCGAAGTAGCCATCACAGTTCAAAGATCACAGTGTACAGTTCTGTGCTTGTTTACTCAGAAGTAAGTCCCATAGTGTTCGATGGGGTTTACACCCAGGTATATAGGATGACAACCCCTGTTAGCTCACCTTGAACAGAACAACTTTCAGTGGATGCTGAAGGTGCAGATGTGTGTCAGTGAGCAATAACTCAGAGAGAGGCGCATTTGTGCACCAGCCCTGACTTTGGAACTTTCTTTATCATGATATTGTTCTTCTAGAAACAAGTATGAATATCTGTTTTGTTAATGCTTGTCATGTAACTCAACTGTAGTTTCCTAGATGTGTGCCTGTCCCCTCCCCAGCTCTTGCAACCGTAGAAGGTATTAAGCTTCTGGATGTCTGCATTAAGTAAATATGAATGTTGGTGTTGGAAAACTCAACATGTGAAGGGGTCTTGTATATTTGGATCTTTTACACTGCTGAGAACATGTTTTTGTCCCCATCTTTGCTTGGCCCTCAAGCAAGAACTCAAAGTGCCAATAAACATCACTCTACCTTACTACTGTGTTCAGATCTGTAGATTCTGTGGAGGAGACGAGTGGGGCAACTTCTTACAGTTGAAGTAGGGTATGGAATCATGGCCTTGTTGCCTTGATTTTAGTATATTCTGGCTGCAAAATGTGGGAGGCTGTTCATTAATAATGATACATGGAACATTGTGCATGTGGTGGGTAGGAAAAAGGATGCTGCACAGAGTTCAGAAGAGTAATTATGAGTGAAATTCTATGCTCATTTACCTGAGAGGGATGGATCCCTTTCTTGCTGTTTTACAAGGTTGAGAAGAAGGGGCATAATCCACCTCTTATTTTTAATGTAGCCTCCCCCAACCAAATTCCTTCTAAATGTTTTGGACTGTATCTTCAGTTGGCAGGACCATTGGACATGCTGGCCAAGGCTGGTGGGAATTGTGACCTAGTACATACAAAGAGTATCAGGTTTGGGAAAGCTGCTGTCTTGAATGCAGTGGGATTTCTGGGGAAAAGATCCGCAGGATTTACATTGTGTTTGTGTGCTCTGTTTGGCTGAACGTCAAAAGCTTAACTGAATTTGAGCGCTTTGTGTGTTTCTGAGTCAACCATGTGGCACAGTAAAGAGCCTAGAGATGATCAGAGTTTGGAATTGCATCCCACACAGGCCCATCATGTTAAATCTTTCATTCATGGAGTTTAAAACGTTAAAATGATGTGACACTTAAGTGGGGAAGTAGAACGTGAAAGCTCGATACCTTATGAGGAAGATGTTGAGCTGCCACATAACAGAGAAAGAGACTGACAGCTTCACCCTCCCAATAAAGCCCAGGGCCTCACCCTGCACACTCACATTCACTGAGGCACCGGAGGTGGTCTCTGAGAGAGACCTCTGGGCAGTATTCCTTTGCAGCTACTCTCTGGGGCCTTTGGTTTAGCTGCAGTGAGAAGTGAGGGACTTGGCATCAGTGCATCCTATTTGTCTTTGGCCCTTACGGACTTGATTTCTCTCTCACACACATACACACACCATTTTAACTTGCAGGTCAGTGCATCCTATTTGTCTTTGGCCCTTATGGACTTGATTTCTCTCTCTCACACACACACACACCATTTTAACTTGCAGTTTATGAGGTTGCTGAGATTGAGTGAGTGGATGAATGTCTGCATTTTGGTATGGGTTTTAAGAGTTTAGGATGTTTGGATCTGCTTTGTTTTATTTTCATGGCTTTGATGGTGCCACAGTATAACAGCCAACCGCCACCTGTCTGTCTCCAGCTATGAGTGGGGAGGAGACCCCCCTCCCCAGCTGTTTGCATGTCTCTAGTGGTTTTCCCCCCTGTATACTTGAAAACACACAAATACTGGCACAGACAGAGCTCAAACTAGCAATTTTGGCACATGGGGCAAGCAGCACAAAATTACCCACAAATTAATTTTGTGATTCGTAGTATGAAAATAGTGCAAGAAATGATTACAGTGCTGAACACTTGTCAGCATCTTCCCTCCACCACAGGGCATCAGCAGCAGTGCTAGAGGTGCGAAAACAAACCAGACCTGTTTTTAGTGTGTATTTGTACAGTCGTGCCCCACTTAACGTTTACCCCGTATAACGACAAATCCACTTCACAACCATGTTTTTGCGATCGCAAAACGATGTTTTAAATGGGTTTTTTTCCGCTTTGCGAAGATCGGTTCCTTGCTTCAGGAACCGATTCTTCGCATTACAACAATCAAAACAGCTGATCGTTGGGTTTTCAAAATGGCTGCCGGGTGCTCAAAATGGCTCCCTGCTGTGTTTTTGGATGGATTCCTCACTGTATAGGCACCGAAAATGGCCACCCCATGGAGGATCTTCGCTGGACAGTGAGTTTTTCAGCCCATTGGAACACATTGAACGGTTTTCAATGTGTTTCAATGACCTTTTTTATTTCACTTTACGACGTTTTCGCTCTACAGTGATTTCACTGGAACAAATTAACGTTAAGCGAGGCACCACTTTATAAGAGATATATATTGAGGGGGCACGTGCTCCCTCTAGTGGCCTGCTGAAGATCTATATCTGTATTTCTGTGCTAATGCAGAAGAGAGAAGGAACAGGAATGCAAACTGCTGCTATTCAGCAGCCTTTTTTAAAACCTTCAACCACGTGCACTGGTTGGAGAGGGGCAGACAATCTACACAGCCCCCTTGCATTCATTGTGTTTTCGGGCTCAGCTGCGGAGAATAATTTTGCTTTTGCTGCTTAGTCCTAGAGACAGAAAGCAAGTAGAAGCAAACTCCCTGTTTGTGCAGTTGCCGATTGCCCACAGCTAACAAGCAGTTGTTAAATAATGACTCTGCTCTAGGTACACACAACAATATTAGGTTGGAAACTTGAGAAGGGGAGTTGTAATGGGGAATAGCCTGGCACAGGCTGCATGTATTTTATCGGTCTGAGAAGGCACAGAATCTTGCAGGCATATTGACAGAAACAGAAACGAACAAAAATAGGTATTCTCTATGTTCCAGGAAGGTGTGTTCTATCACATTCTGCCACTTTGTAGCTCAGAGCAGCTGAAAGAAAGGGATTTAAGAGTCAAAAAGCCCCAGCTTTTCCTAATCCCCCCCCCATTCCTTTTTTAAGCGGTAAGAAGAGGACAGTTCCTAACAGCAGAAAGTATTCTGATATGGATGTGTGGGAAATGAAGTTCTGGGAATGTGCCCTTAAATATCCAGTGCAGTGCAAGTAAAGGACAGAGGTAAAAAAATAAAACAAAACCAAAGGTTGCTTTTCCCCCATGCTGAGTCCTCCTATACAGTCTGCAGAAAATGTGCTGCTCCTTCCCTTTTTAAAAATGCTCTTAATAAAGATTAAAACACTGTCAGCAAGCCCCAGACTTCAGGTGTACATACAATTGTGTTTATATGTACAAAATGTATAACAATGGAAATGAGAGGTATGAATCAAGCAATAACACAATTCAAAACACATTTTATCACATTTTATTTTCTCTTGCAAATTCTGGCATAAGATAATTCAACCACTGGCAGCAGTCATTACTCAGTCTCTCCCAGTTACCTAAAGTGCTGGGTCAGAAAGGTTCATTCAATGCATGCTTCTGCTGAAAATGAATTCCTTCTAGAGGCAGGAACTTCTCCTGCACTTAGTACACTAGACATATTTGAAGATTGGGAGGGGAGGCTAGCTAGCAGCTTTTCTCCTATTCCAGACTACCAATGAGTCACAGTGAAAGCTTTTTTTAAAGGTGGAGGTTGGGATATGGGAAGAGAGAGGCAGTGCAATACAGCTTATTTTGGCATATCAAGTTGGAGAAATTGTGGTGTCCCAGATAATGTTAGTCTACATCTCCCATAGTCAGCATAGCCAGGAGTTAGGAGTGCTCTGAGTTGTAGTTCCAGTGCCATACAGAAGGCCACACTGTGTCCATCCCTGTGGTTCATCCACACTAGTGTTCTCCCTCTCCTTTCCATGCACCTAGTCGATTTGCTTGGAGGTTTTAAAGGTGAGATGGCCACCTGTCAGGGACACTTTAGCTACGAATTTCCTGCCTTGTCAAGGGGTTGGATTCAGTAAATCAGGGGTCCCTTTCAGCTCTGTAGTTCCATGATTCTATGAATAAAAATCTTAGTAATGTTTTAACTGCTGCTCACAACTACAACAATCAAGAAACTGAAGGAAAAAGATCAACAGGTGGATTTGTAGCACTTTATGTCTTGTTGTTAGTTCAGCAAGGCTTGTCAGGGCAGTTTGAAATCTGGTATGTTTTTAGAACTCTGCAGTTAGGTCATGGATGTTAGGTTATTACCTTAACATGTCACTTCTATAAGCAATAGAACTGCAAGACATATATTGGAACCTTTTTGGGAAAATGGTTCATCTAAACTAAAGAACCTGTATGCCCGTTTACTTTTGACGACTAGAGTACAGTTGTGCCTCGCATAACGAGCGCACCGTATAACGACGAATCCGCATAGCGATCCCTTTTCCGGGATCACTAATGCGGAGGCATAGCATCGGTCCCTATGGAAAAAACTTGCTTACCAAACACAGGTGCCAGGAAGGAGCAGCCACTGCCGTGGCCACGAGAGTGATGCAGGGCCGTGCTGGCCGGGGAGGAACGCAGGCGGGCAGGCAGGCAGATGGGGGGAGGGAAACGGCGCTCGCTCACTTGCCCGCCACCCCCCGCTTTCCCTCTTCCTCCTCGTCCTTCTCCCGGGGAGGAAGGCAGGCGGTGAGGCAGGCAGGCGAAGGAAGGGAAGCTGCGCACTCACGCGTCCTCCCCTCCACTTTCCCTCTTCTCCTCTTGCCGCTGCCCCCCCAAGCCTCCCACAGAGTCGGGCGATCAGCTATTCGGTGGTTCCGAAATGGCCGCCAGACACCCGAAATGGCCGCGCACAGCGTTTTTGTGCCCTCCCCTCGCTTACCAAGGGCACGAAAACGCTGCCCGCGGCCATTTCGGGTGTTCCCACGGCCATTTTGGACCCGCCGAACAGCTGATCCACGGGTCGCAAAGCGAAGGTCGGTAAGCGAAATGCTTACCTATCTTCACAATGCGAATTTCAGCCATAGGGGCTGACGCGATGCCTTCGCATTAGCGATCCCGGAAAAGGGATCGCTATGCGAATTCATCGCTATACGAGGCGCTCGTAAAGCGAGGCACCACTGTATATTGATTTCTGCTCATACCCAGCAGTGATCTTGTGTTCTTAACTAAATTTGTCAAGCTCTATTCCTTTTCTTTTTTGGCAGGGCTTACCTCTGCAGGTCTTTTCTTTCACTCTTTCATCGAATGCAAACTTGCCTTCAACACACATTAAAACTATGGGAGAAGGAATTGGTTTAAGACTCTACAATCTGATACTTCTTGCTGATACTCTTTGTGTTGATAGAAGATAGTGTTCTTGACTATTGCTACTGAAACACAGTTCATTACAATGCACAAGGCTGGACCTAGCAGCAGGCAGAGTGAGGCATATACTTTGGGGACAATAAAATAGTGGAGGACAGCTGTTTGCCCCATT